GTGCGAAATAGCTTGATAGCTGAAGCGCTAGTAAACATTATACTACTATCTACTACTTGTCAAATTAACTACGCAATTGGACGTTGCAGTAATTTCGGCAATGATAGAATGTACCAGCCTATGGTATATGCTTCGCATCAGTTGTTATTTGAGTGGCTTTTGCTTATTTGTCTTAGGTTTTAATTATAATTCATCTCGACAACTCAATCAATTTGTGGAACGGAAGGTTCTGCATTTAGAAGATTCGGGTGGAGATTCATGACCAAGACAGGCTGTCGGCACTCTATTGCGGGCACCGCATTGCTTGCAACTTGCGTTATGACATGACTGCAAGTAAAAAATTTACTGCAAGTAAATTTTTTCTTCGGGTGCAGTTACTTTGTGCTCCATTATGTTCGCATCATTAGATTAGTTACTGGTGTAAAGTACAGGAGAAAACCATAGTTATGATTTTTTTGTTATTAACTGTAAATTTTCAAATGTATTGATTGCGGAAATGGCCATCCAATGCAGCAACGTCAAAATGATCACTAGTCCTGAACGTTATGGTTCACTTCTTTCTGCCATCGTTGACGCTGAATTTTGAGGCCCCCGCAGAACAGTTAGACTTCATTTTTTGCCCTCATTTTAGAACCACGCTATGTCGAAATGATTACTAGTTACAAACTGAGTTTATGCATAGAAGCTGAGGCTCCAATAGGCTTTGCTCAGATCTTAATGGACCCATTCACGGACGCTTCAACTTTGAACTCGGCACACTGGGCGAACTGAGTGTGATTTTCGGCGGCAGCGTGTAGCAGCGTAGTGACGTTGCAGAGGGTGCACGAGAGTGAGGAATGAGCTGCACTAGTAACTGTGCATGGATTTTACTAGTTACGTTGAGTCATTCATTTTCATTACTATTTAAAAACTCTCGATTTCCTGAAATTACCCCGCAAATTCCTCATCTTGAATGCAGACAGCAGCTTATTTTTCGCTAGTAGATAAAGCATTCGCTCCTCCGAAGCCTCCGAAGTGCATACACAAACGATCGTACGATGTGTCCTCGTTTACACACAAACATGCGCACTAGGGTGGAAGATTTTAGATACCTAGGCTGATTCCTTCATGATCCGAGGGTCGGTTGAAATTCTTGAATATATGAAAAAATACTATATATGTGTGTATTTTCTATAGCATATATGTGTAATAGTATATATGTGTGCAAGCATTTAATTCCGTCTTAAAATTCTGTCCTAATTGATTGCTAAAAAGAAGGGTGTTTTATTGTGTGCGTGTAAAATTCACGGCACACAGGTCTTTCATTAACATATGCATAATTTTCACCATCGGATATGATGAGCCTTTTTTGAGTTGGACATGCATGAGCCTTTCGGTCATTCTTGAGCCTGTTTTTTGAGTTGGTGAAAGAATTTATACAGGACTGACCAATAAGCACTGGTTGCGCAGCAGTGTGGCGGTGTGATCTTCCTAACCGCAGTCAACACAGGAATTCCATACCATGCAACGTCCCGGCCTCTTCGTGGTGGATGGTCCTCTCCGTGGCAACCCGTTGCGCCCGGAGGCCAAAACGCGGACACAATTCCCGGACCTGCTGCGAGCCGTTTTTTCGGCTTGGCCGCGCTCCCGTGTGGGGCGTCGCTTCGCCCTGCCGTTCCTCCTAACCTCAGCCGCAGCCCGCCCACTCGACCAAGTCACCATCGCCCTCCTTCGCTTGATGGCGGGTATCCATCCTGACCCCTGCCCTGTCATCACTCACCCTTGTGGCATCTGCGAGCGCTCGATCACCTGGCGGGGCACTTCCTTCCTGTGCAATTTCTGCAACATCTGGGTCCATAAACTGTGCTCCGGGCTCAGCAGAGCGTCCCAATATTGCCTCAATTGCCTCGGGTGTACTGCAACTCCCTCCTCCCCCATACCACCTCTCCCTCCTTCCTCCACACCTCCACCCCAGCCGCCCCCCCACTGCCCTCCTCCTGGAGCGCCGGACCCACATGGTCCTCACTTTGCCAACGGACCTTAACCTGCCCTCACCCACTTCCTCCAGTTCAACTGCAACGACCGGCGGCATTGCCCACTTGAGTTGGCCCACTTTTTGTCACCCACTCCATCCACTCCATCCTTGTCTCAGCCAGTCAGAAAAGCAGGCAGACCGATGCCTCTAACCTTCCAACATTCCCTGGCTACACCTTGATCCGCCGCGACAGACCCATTGGTCCTCTTGCAGGCGGTGGCGGTCTCTGCTTCTTTGTGAACCACACCGTCTCGTACTCCCCGATCCCTTCTGACCATTTGTTCCCGGCGATTCAACAATTGAACACCAGGATATCTCTATTTCCATTGATGGTGCACAATTCTACCTCTACAACATCTACATCCCCCGCCCACCTCCTGTTCCCCCGGTTTTTCTCCCTCCCTGACCTTACTGCTCAAGATGGAATCCCATAACACCATTATTATGGGCGACTTCAATGCTCATAACCCAGCGTGGTTCTCCGTCACTCAGGATGACCACGCGGCCGCCCCATGCGAAGCCTTAATGAACCAAGTAGACTCCAGTCAGCTTTTCCTACTCAATCAAGACACTCCCACCAGGCTCCCGTCACAAGCAGCCCCATCATCACCCGACCTTACCCTCATCAGTCCTCATCTGGCCCTAGACGCTGTCTGGACCCTACTGGCCCGCCTCAACTCTGACCACCTTCCCATCTCTATCTCCCTGGACTCCATGAATACCTCCATGAACCGCCCTACTCGCACCTACATCAACTTCCGTCGAGCAGATTGGGATGCCTATGTCGCCGACACCGAGGCTGCGACACCGTGCCACTGCTCCCTGTTCTTTTTGCTCCCATGGAGAGATCCTCTTTAGGAGGATTCTCACCTCGGCGGCCCGTCGACATATCCCTCTCGGATGTAGAAGAGATTTCATTCTCAACTTCCCACCCGCAGCCATCCCTCTCATCCAACAGCGTGACAGGACCCGTGCCTTGAACCCCAACCACCCCAGCCTTCCGGACCTCTACAACAACATCTCAACAGCCATTACCACTCACTCGTGCATAACCTGGATCATGAAGGTCCAGTCAACCAACCTGCAGAAAAACCCACCTAAATTTTGGTCGCTCCTGCGCTCCTTCTCCGGCAAGTCAACCAGACAAGCCCCTAACCAACCCATTTCCCATGCCACCGCAGACCACATCATAGCCCTGTTCTTCTTCCCCCGATTTATGCGGTTTTTCCGCTACCAGCGAGACCCATTCTGCATGTCAACTTACTGAGGCATCAAGTGCCGCAATCCTCTCTCTGGCACACCTCCCCTGTTCACTCAAGATCAGACCAGACCGGCAGTATGGTGCTCGGGTGCCTCCCCGCCACTGGCCCGTACTCCCTCACTATCCTCCACATCCAACACCTGGGTCCCAGAAACATACAGTACCTTACCCAACTATTCAATCTGTCCCTCGCCAAGGTTGACATTCCTGCCATCAGGAAGCTACAATCATTGCCATTCCCAAGCCAGGCAAACCTCCGTCCATCAGCTCCTCATACCGGCCCATCTCCCTCCTCTGCCCATCTGTGAAGGAGCTGGAGCGTCTGCTCCTCCCTTCCCTCAATGCAGCGCTTCCACTGATGGACTACCAACACGGTTTCCGCTCCCTCCACACCACAACATCTGCCCTACTTCCTCTAACCAAGGCCATAGCTACAGGTTTCAACCAGCACAGCCCGCCAACAAGGACAATAGCAAGGCATTTTACACAGTGCATTACGCTCAGCTCATCTTTCACATCGCCTCCACTCCCCTCCACGCCATCATCACTTGCTGGCTGATCTACTTCATCAGAGGCAGGTCAGCCTGGTGCTCCTACAACAGCTGCATCTCCTCCCCAAGTCCGGTTCACGCTGGAGTCCCAGAAGGCTCCGTCATCTCGCCCGTCCTCTTCAATTCCTATATTTCAGACTTCCCCCAGTCCGCCCTTTTAATCGCCTCCTGTGCGGACGGCTTCACAGTCGCTGTGGGGGCAGCAGATCGCCGACGCATCTGCTGTCCTCTCTTCCCACTCTTCCAATGTGGCGGCATGGGCTCGTCGGAACCCAAATAAAAATTAAGAGTGGAGCACCTATGTTTTTAGGATGGCTATCAGCGGACGCCATAGGTGGAGTGACTATGATTTATATAGTGAATTAAGAGTGGCGTGCACCACCTATCCCACACCTATAACCTGCCAATGGCCCCCCTACCCGTAAAACTCTTCTTCCACCAATAACCGCCCATTGGCACCAGTGGCGCATCTATGAGACACCGATGGCCACCTTTAAAATTAAGTCGATAAAAATTTTAATTTAGTTTCAAATCAGATGCTTTCGCATTTACTGATATTGCTTCATACAATCACCGTTCTAAGGGCTACGTATGGGAATCCACAAAGGCATTACAGGTAACAATGTCAGACATGTTGCAGGAACAAATAATCAGAATACCATACACATACCTTGTGAGAAATCGACTTTAAGAAGAAACCTCCCTGCAGGATTCGAACTCCGATCTCCCGCACGCGAAGCCGAGCCTCTACCGTTGTGCCATCGGAGAGGACATGGCAGTCGAGTAATTTTAAAACATTTAACTGGAGTATTGCAAATATTAAATTCGTCAAATGAGAGAAGTTAATGCTGCCGCCGTGATGATTAGATGGTTCCATCAACAATTTTATTTGAACATGCTGCTGCTTTCGAGTAAACACCCGCTGAAAGAAACTTCATTTATCCATAATGATCGAACGATGGTTCAGCTTGGAGTAAAGGCTACGGGAAAATGCATAATAAGCATCGAAGTTTTATAATGTCAACATTACACCAATTCTGACAGCGGTTTGTTTTCGATATATTTTCACCAAAAATATTCTTACGTGAAATAAGGAATTGATATTACTCGATTATTTTGAAATTGTAAGGAATTTTTCAATTCGCTACATAATAAGGTTAAGCAAAGATTTATAATAAGAGAACCATCAAATTTTATTAGGAGAGGTTCAAGGTTGGATCTCCTTAATTGGGTCTTCATCCACGGGAAGCGCCGGAAGTTTTGATGGTAATTAAGTATTCATCCAGAGAAGAAGTTAAGTAGGAAGACCAGGCTCCAGAATTTAGTTCAACTGGACATCAGAATTGAGAGTCTTCAGAATGAATAGAACCAGGTAAGGGCGGGGTCGGTGCTGGCGTCACAGGAACGGCGAAGTTTATACTGTTAGAGAAATTAAACAAGTTATAACACGAGTAGATATGGTACACAAATAGTGACAAACGCAATGATTAAGGCAGTATATATCAATATTCAAATGAGAGTAATGGCACACACCTAAATCTATTCGGGATTCAGTGTTGAACCGTAGTTACAACTGCTAGGCTTAATCAAGGAATGAAGCCCTAACGAAAGAGGAGTGTAAAGTTGGAGGAAGGCTCACCAGAAAGGACAGACAGGACAGTAGGAGGTTCAAATGCACGGGAAAAAGTTAGAGGAGGAATGAAACCCTAAACCTCCATCTACCTATACTAGACCCTAAGCAAATGACCATAGTTAATTTATCCACCTTAAACGTCCCAAATGGAGGTTATCCCCAAACATAAATTATGGTGAGCCTAAGATAAATCCTACCTAGATAATACACGAGTAATAAATAGTTAAGTAAATCCTGCTAGAAACCACATTCACACAAAATTATAAGACAGTAGAATAAAGGTCTCAGCAAGGATTAGGAGCCTGTGGACGCTGAAGATGCGTAGTCCAATACTCAGGTCGCAGGTAAGATTAGAGATGTTGCTCAGTCGGCTGCCGGAACGAATCTGAGCTAAGTTGAAGGTGAGCTACCTCGTCACCTGGGCAACAAATGAAGGCAGCAATGCATTCGAAAGTGGTAATTTCTTACAAAATTTCAGGCGTGAAATACCTGCACCACTTCTAGTCACTATTTTTCTCTAGCCTAATCTTCAGCCTATTGCGTATGAAAGATACCGGGGCCACTTTCTTAGAAATTTAGAATTAAAATCTAAAGAATTATCTGACTGAATATTAAATTTCACAATCGAAGTCAGGATGGATAACCGAATTTTTACTCGTATCCACTGCGTAAAAAGGATACTTTTAAGACGAGCAAATTACCCGGAAAGCACATGTTTCAAGCAGGACATGGTAAAGATTAGTGGGAAGCTCAACGCCGACGTGAGTCAAGTTAACCCAACCGGTATGAACGTGTGCTTACTGGACTCCTCGCTGCTCGATGTCTAGCCGCTGTGCTTTACAAGACGCCGAGCCGCTGTCGACTACGCTCGCTGCGCTTGATGCCTAGCCGCTGTGCTTTACAAAGAAGCCGAGCCGCTGTCGACTACGTCAACATGGCTTTTGAGTTTAGATAAATGGGGCATCTTGAGAATATTGTATAATGGAACACACTTGATTGATTCATACAATTTATACTTAATGATACAATAATTAGTCTCAATTGATCGCACTACTTCCAACACAGCCAGTTGGCGCATACGCAAAATTTACATTAAATTTACGCAGTATTTCAGGTGAACATGTAAAATTTGATTCGCCGTCATCTATGGAAAAACTGTATTTATTGCAACAAAAATTTTTCATTGTATATCGCGCAATTTATATCAGTCTGATACATGCATGGCCAGTGGCTTCACTTTGGCGTGACAATTTTTTTAACACCTTGCTTCTCTCCATCAATTTTATTGGAACCTACCTAATTCACGCTAAATTTTCATACCAGAACTTAATCTTAAAAGCCAAGCACACAAAACGAAGTCATGGTTTCGTCTTGATCTCGAATGACTCGCAACCCAATAACACCTTTCTTTTTCATCCTTCTCTTCCATGTCGAACAAGGCACGAGCATCATCACCACCACTCAGAGTTAGATAGTGCTTGGCTCAGTTGTTCATAAATCCCACTGTATATAAAAATATTTTTGAGGGTAACTGCTGCATTAAAATTAGCATCAATGAATCAAAATTCATTGCAACGAACGTTGAATCCTTGAATTGATTTTTACCATCCTTTCATACCAATCTTTCAGAAGAACATAATGATTACTGTGGGACGTCATCGATAAGTTGTCAATCTGATGTTGTGATGCATAGGAAACTACTCGATAGGACACTCCATTAAACGTATTCGATCCATTAATGATAATCCATGTATTAGCTTGTGTGAAATAAAAAAATATTATCATATTTTATTGTTCAATTTCCTTTGATGCAAAAAACAATTTAAGGAGGCGGAAAGAAATTAAAGCGAATCTGGGTAGTAATCTGGATACCACTGCGCTCGAGGTATTAATCAGTACCAATTTGAAGTTCATTGTTTTTTTTATACCTTAGATTTTTATGTATGCTGCATAAATTTTAATACTTTAGTTCAAGCGTGCGCTCTTATTAGCGCATCTTCTCATTCATGTAAAAAAAATGCCCTATTGTGCTCGTCATGTCTGTACGTCTGTCTGTCCGTCTGTCAGCCCAACCGTGACTTCACGTTTTCGTCGACGAGAAAATGCGCTCTCTGTCACTCACTGCAGTGAATACTGAGTAAATATTTTTTTGAATAGTGATTACCATGCACCATTCATTTTTCATGCGCTTGAGCGCCATCGAACAGATATTTAATCACTTCTCGTGTTCACAGAAGTTTTCAATTAGATAAGAAGATTCAATTAAGAAGATTCGAATGTTAAATAAAAGGTAATCCAATAAAAAATAAATTATTAGTTGGCATTCTCTACAATTTTATATCATGCTTGAACGTTGTGGCGAAATGAGTTAAATTCATTTTGTAAATCGCTATTTAGATGCGGTCAATTCATTACACCATAAAGCGGACAAACATCGAATCGCCGGACATTAAAGTCAGTATATTTATTCTAGATGACATCTTCATAATCCAACAGAGTACTTAGCCTATTGTGTTAATTTAAACAGTCTATTATTGAGGAATATGAATGTTATTTAACACATTCCAGAGTATTGTATCTTATTAATTATGTCAATCAAGATTCCCAGTTTATTGTTCAGCAGATTATTAATTAAATAGCATTAGGTTAGAATCATTCTATTATGCTCAACAGCATTTTCTGTGAGATGAAAATCAGTATACGTCTATTTATGAACACAATTGACTGATATATATACAGTTTAATCAGTTCCTATTCATGAAATTTTCCAGAATCCAATCATTTCGATGCTGTGAAATTTTCCTTAATTTTCACTTTTCTGTCGGTGCCGACAATATTTAATGTTTATTTTCTTAATTTTTTCAAGAAAAGTTATTTTGGTAAAAAAATTTAGCACATTATTTACCCAACATTTCCTAAACTTCTTAAACACGTGTAAACCTCTAATGCAAGCTCATTCTGTTACTTTCAGTAGGAGTAAAAAAAAGGAATTTTTTTAGAGTAAATGTGATTTTAAAATACGCAAATGCCTAAAAAATTTGAATTTCTGAAAAAATCATAGGTATAGTTTCACAAAATAATTGTGAATTTCTGGAAAAAATTAAACTGAAACAGTTTCACGAAAAAATTGTTAAAACATTATTATATGCGTTATACAAATGCACAATATTACGCTCAAGCTCGTTTTTTTTTACTTTGGAGAGACTTGTTGATTTTCCCCACTCCCACAAATCCGCACGTTAACTATACATCGTGAAAAATAAGTGAATGAGATAAAAGATCTGTTGGAGACTTTGCACCATAGGCAGCGCGAATTAAATGATAATGCTCTGTATGTTGTAGCGCTAATAATTTCAAGTGTCTAGAAGTGCCGAATAAATGAAGCAGGAAGTAAACATTAACATATTTTTTGTTTCTCTATCCCCGGCTCTCCCATCGCTTATTCCCTAATAAAAATTGAGAGTGGCGGCAATCGATGAATCACCGATAATTTATGCTGTCGGAATCATCGAATCTCTTGTTAGCCGCCGATAAAAGTTTGCCCAAATTGCACCGTGCTGTAAGGAATTTGCCACTGCCACTATTTGTAAAGATGGAACACCAAAGAGACCAGCTGCCTTTTGCCCCGCTTGTTTTTAGAAAATATCGCGCCAAATGAGGCTGGTTTCGTTATTATGCTAATGCTTGAGTTTTCGATTTATCCTTTTGTTTTATGTTACTCTCATGCATTTCAGTTGCAGATACCACAACCCACAGATATTGTCTCTTTTTGCATGGTAATTTTATTTCGTATCTTGAGTAACATCATAACCTATTTTACCACGTTTTTCTTATTTTCGCTTCGTGTCTGTCTGTCTGTCTGTCATCAAAAATTCAAACCTTAATTTAGAGCACTTCTGATGATCCTAGCAACTTGAAATTTGGCGTGCATGCTTATGCTGCCTAACAATTCAAGATTTGATCATAAGAAGTAATAAGTTAAAAAAAATGAAAAAATTAAAAACTCTAAGAATGCACAGATAGAAATAGAGTTTTATGTCGAACATCCAGAGTTGCCAACCCTGGAAAATGATTTGAATTGCTAAAATTGCCAAACTAAAAAGTTTTTTCGGGTCTATCAAGCATATTTGGCCAATCGGGTCATTGAATTCTGAAAACAGCTTCTAAATAGCGGAGGAATGCAGCAGATGCCCGATTAAAGCCTGATTTACCTCAAAGGCAACTTGATAGACAGCGGAACGACCCAAATTGGAATCCGATTTTCGACTCGGTAATTTTTGTCGAGTGAGTTGCTCTAAAACGGCGCCGACCGCTGTTATAATTTATGTAGGGTGTGATACCCTAAAACGGCGCTAATTAATTGCTCTAAAAGGCGCTAATTAATGTCGTGTGTGATGCCTTAAAACGGCGCCGACCGCTGCTCTATTTTTGCAATAAGAAAAGAGAGTAAATAGAGTCAGTCATCTACCCCTAAAAATAGCATTGAAACGTTGAATGCTACTTGTATCATTACCATACCAGAATGCTTCCTGGTAGTAATGATTTAAGTAATCATGTGATTACATTATCATTTGATGATTCATTCATGTGAAGTAATTTGCATTATTTCTATCACTGACTTCATGGTGCATAAGAATCAGTTCACCCAAATGAATGTACGTTATTTATGACCGTTAATAACCGTTTTCATGTGTTCATTTTTAGCTGTTTTTACTTTTCGAGCAAAAAGACAATATGTCTTTGTAATTAATATTATAATCAATTAATCATCAATTATTATCAACAATAAATTTATGTAAATAATAATAATAATTGAGATTTATAATATAATAATATTCAATTCTGTAATTACATATAGTCATGCGGAAATTCTCACCTCATATACAGGGTCCTTCAAAAAAAGTCCCTGATTTCAATAGGCTTTTGCAAAACTCATACGACACATACAGAACAATTGTTTTTATTTGTGAATAGCTTATTTGATGCTATTTTATATCGCTTAGTACACTTTACTTGGTTTTGATAATTATGTTTGATAAATGATGTCCCCCATTGTTAAGACATTCACGAAGTCTTTCCCTGAAGTTGCCCAGAGTTATTCGTGTAACTTCCCTTGGAATGGCTGCCACTTCCTGCCTAATGGCATGTTTTAGTTCTTGCAGATTTCTGGGACGATATTTGTACACTTCAGCCTCTAGGTAGCCCCACAGAAAGACTCACACTGCTCACACTGCTCGCCGGTCCATGGAAATGTTGTTTTCTGGACGTCTTGTATCTTTTAAAGAGAGTTGTTTTCTGGACGTCTTGTATCTTTAAGAGGAGACATTTCCTGACCCCCACGGTCACCCGACTTATCACCTTGCGATTTCTTTCTGCGGGGCTA